TGCCCACCAATCCAAGCATCGCACCACCTACATCCAACGCAAATACAATTACAACCAACAGTACTGCTAACCAACAGCAACAACAACACCAACTGCCACAATTTAATGCTCAGCGTACTAATCGTGCTAGTTTTAGTAACATACCGCGTGCAAGTCTCTTCAACAACAACTCAACTACAGTAACCAACAATAGTCGACAAAGTCCGCCCGCTATGAATCCAACAGCAAATGTCAACAGCACGGGTCAGAATCTAGCGCATTCGAGAAGTCGCGGCAGCGTGCCATCGATGCATAGTTCCACTGCTGCAACTCAACAATTGCAGCAGCAGCAGCAACAGCAACAGCAACAGCAACAGCAACAACAACAACAACAACAACAACAGCAACAGTCGCAACAACGCTCGAACTCAGTACGCCAACAATCACATAATTATCATCCGCCACCACCTCCGCAGCACGCTGCACCGCCAACACCTGCAGAGCGCGAGCTACCTTCCGATCTGGAAGTCATGGTATCCGATGTGGAAAACTTGGTTAGTTAGTTAAGAGCCAAAGTCAAAAACTCAAAGTTATTCACGCACTTTTAGTAAAACGCCCTAAACTTGCCGTACCCGCTGTTGCACTGCCTAAAGTGTTCCTTCCAAATGAAAGCTTCTTATTGGGTGGGTTTCTTCGCTATCATTTACTATTAATATTAATTAAAAAATTTAATTTTTATTTTTGTATTTGTAATTATGTTTCTTATAATTGATTTGCGGTTTTTTCTCTATTATTTATACGTCAACTGATCGCTAAATTAATAGTTATATGAGTATACTCAGAGCAAAGAATCTATAGTACAAAGAAGTGCCACGCTCATACAAACGAAATACTCACTTTATTTTGCTGGTGGATTTATAATAAATCCACCCAACCTCGTGCAACAATGTTCGATCGAGTCACGTTTGTATGAGCGTGGCACTTCTTTGTACTATAGATTCTTTGGTTGAAGGTTTTCAGCAAAAATCTGGTGTGCAAATAGATAATTCGCCACCACGGAGCAGTAATACAGCTCATTTGGAGACGCAGCAAGCCTATAAACGTCTAATCATTGCAGTACTTACTGATAATTATGATAGTGATGATGACCTGTTTAATTTTGGTGGCGGGCCATCAAAAAAAACATGTTTACAAGATAAAGATAAAAGTTTCGGTGAAGAACTTTACGATGTACGAAATAAACAACAACAACAGGAATTATGTTTACTTGAAACAGAAAAGATCGGTGTGAATGATGATGGCAAATCCGGGAGCAAACAAAATTCAATATTAGATGATGAAAGTATGTCAAAGCGTAAACAGAACAAAATTATTCAAATTGTTATAAGTGACAGTGATGACAGTAATGAAGATGATGACCTGTTTAATTTTGGTGGCGGGCCATCAAAAAAAACACCTAATGAATACAAGCCTATAAATAGCAATGATTTGATGGGACATAATCTAGATTGCACAATAACACCGGCTCGTAAAACTGTTTTCAGCGGTATGACATTTGTGTTTATGAATGCGAACCAGCTTGAAATATATGGACCCATTATAATTAAAGCCGGTGGAGCTACAAAAGATCTAAAATTTTGTGTGCCAAAATCTTTTTTACTTAAAAGTAACGTAGTTGTTTTGCAATATGTGCCCACAAAACAAACCCACAAAACAAAACAGTTATTATCAGTAGAGACGTGATTTTTTTTGAAAATGAAAAATATGTAGGAAAAAGTGATTCCCTAGGTATAGTTGTTCCTATTATACAAATTGAAAGTGACAATTCAGGGAAGAATATAGAGGAATGCGAATTGCCACTTAAAAATACTGAAAATGAAACCAAAAGTTCTGATGAACACTACAAAGTAATAGATAATACCTCTCCGGAATGCTCTGAGATTCAAGTAATATCCAACGAAGTGGAAGAAGAATCTGACATACGACGTTCGAAGAGAATAGCAAGCAAAAATTCGCCATATAATTTTTGTGCATTAGATTATATATCAAACGATCCTTGTTCATTTGAAGAAGTAATGTCGTCCAATAACTCTGATAAATGGAAAGCAGCTATGCAGAGTGAAATTGACTCGCTTTTACGGAACAAGACATGGAAACTTACTGAGTTGCCGGCTGATAAAAAAGCAATCCCATCAAAATGGGTTTTTAAAACTAAATTAGATGCTCAAGGTACTCCGGTTTGCAGAAAAGCCAGACTAGTTGCAAAAGGTTTCGGACAAATAGAAGGCATTGAGTACACAGAAACATTTGCTCCGGTGGTAAGATATGAATCAATAAGGTTTCTATTAGCGCTCGCCGCCAAAAATGATTTGATTATACACCAAATGGATGCTGTTACAGCATATTTGAATGGAATTCTCGATGAAGAAATATACATGAAACAGCCGAAGGGTTTTAACGATAGCTCAGGCAAGGTATGTAAACTTCTACGTTCAATATATGGTCTCAAGCAATCAGGACGCGTTTGGAACGAAACTCTAAATCGAGAATTAGTTGCAATAGGGTTAAAATATTTTTATTTACCTTCATGATCTGACGTAATTTCTGGATATTTCAAAAGTTTGTCCTTAAAACGTCCTGGACATGGTTTTATTTTCAATAGAAATATTGTCCGAATAACCGTTTGCATGTAAAATGTTTTGTAGTAACTCCGAAGTAATTTATTATTATCAAATAATTCTTCTTTTGATATATTTGAAATTGGCAACTCATACTCCAACTCCTTTATGCTTTGGCAAATGTTAGCAATAACATCATTGTGAAAAGTTAACCTTTTAAACGTTTCAAAACTGACTGGAAGGTTGCGCACTTTTTCATTTGTTTCTTTGTTGTTAGCATCAAAATTTGATATAATACTATATTTATAAAAAATTCCGTTTTAATAAAATAATTTATTTATTTAAATAACTTAAATACCTCTTTAGTCCCAGGATCTTTTCTTCTAATATCTTTTTATCGGTAACGCTATAATGCACATACATAAATTTTTTAATGGCTAAATAATCAATCATTTCTCTACTTAATATTTACCTATTTATATTTTTATGTGGAGAACTATCTTGTTTCTTTAAACTTTTTTTTACGCTTTGATGTTCATTATCTTTATTTTCACACAAATGTTTATAATAGTGTGGAATTTTAAACAAACGTTGTTTTGTGTTTTCATCACAGTCACTAGTGATGCGAACATATTTCATTGGTGCTACACATCGTCGCTGTGGTCTTTTGTAAAAAACGTTATATGTCTTTTTTACCCTGAACATGATTTCTGGTTCCGTGAGATATGTTTCTAAGGCTATTGGATATTTATCTTTAATATAATCTTTAATTACATCGATTATATTTGTATTTTCAATGAACTCATTGATCGTAACTGGAAAGACTGATCGTATTTTTGATTCTTCACGGGGTCTGAATCTGAAATAAATAAATTATTTTAGCATTTCTTTTATTAATTCACTTTAACTTACTTTTCTTGCAAATTTATATCCTGCTTTAGTTTAGGACTAGCCTGTGCTTCTTTGGTCTCAATTCCCATTGTATCAGTAATTTTTGTTTGTTTAACATTTTTTCCTTTTTTGAAGGGCATTTTTAATTCCGCCTGTATTCAACAATTTAGTGTTATTATTTATGAATTTTAATTTCGCCTGTATTCAACAATTTAGTGTTATTATTTATGAATTTCCCGCTAAAATTAAAGAAATTTCAACATACAGTTTTGTAAATGAACTGCGGAATTAGCAAAGAATACTTTTACTGTTTTAGAATACTGTTATATTAAGGCAATTCAATTATTGAAACTGTTGAAAATAAAACAGAAAACAGAAAACAACAAAATACAAAATATTAATAACGCAAAATAAGCAACCTCAATTTTTGACAAAAATTGTCAAAAATTTATATTTTCTAATTTCAAGCAGTCCCAAGAAATATACGATTTAATTCAATTCAGTGTTTTTAACATGAACAAATGAAATAGTAAAATTTGTTAATTAGAAAACATATTAAAAGTTATTTTATTGCATAAAAGTATTTTATTAAAAATAAAATTGTTGAATTAAATTAATAATAAATTAAATAATATTAAAAGTCTTTAAACTATTCATACATTTGAATATGAATATTTTAATATACAAATATAATTTACATACTCCACTCTTTTTACCACCAAAAAATTGTTTACAATTTTTGTTTTTTTTTATATTTCTTATTGGATTTTTCACATATTTAACAAACACAAATTGACACATAGCACAACTTTATTAAAATATATTAAATATATACTCACATATATTTTTGCTTTACTAATTTGTATTTATACACATCAAAACAAACAAATCACATTAAACACAAAACATATATTTTAAATCCACAATTAATAAATTATTGTTTTTTTACCTTCTTTCGTCATTTTTAGGAAATTCATACATTCCCTTAAATAACTTACATCCCATCACGCAATTTCGCACCATCTTCAAATATTAATAATAATATATAATAATTTACTATAATAACAATTATAATAAATATAATTATTTTTTCAAAGAAACTTATTCACTACTTTTTATAACTCAGTTTGATTTGGCTACGTTTTTCAGTTTTTGGCGCATTTCTCCTGTCAAAATAACTAAACAAAACCCAATTTGCGCTCTTCATATTGCTCTTTCGTAATAAAAAAAATTAAGACCGTTCGTGGTGGTGAAACGTTCCGTTCGGGGTGGTGAAACTTTTCAGTCGTGGTGGGTCGAATTGCAACAACAAAACAACGTGCTTGGTTTGGTAGTAGTAAATTATTTTGAGAGTGTATTGGTTGGTTTTTTTTGTTTACATTTAAGTTGCCGTTCTTGTACAAGTATTCTTTGTTTCTTAATATGAATACACATGATTTTGTACAGCGGTTAATGGTTTTGTTTATGATTAAAGCAAAGAATCTATAGTACAAAGAAGTGCCACGCTCATACAAACGAAATACCCACTTTATTTTGCTGGTGGATTTATAATAAATCTACCCAACCTCATGCAACAATGTTCGATCGAGTCACAACTGGTATGATGACCAGTTCAAACCTATATGTGAGTCGAGTAAGGCTGACAAAAGCCCGACTGCATTCGTATTCAATCATACATGCATTCTGTATTACATTATACGCATGTTTGTATGTTTGTTCGCTGTAAAATGTTCAAACGATCAAACAGCATTTCAGTGACGAAGTCAAAATTGTGTACATTTGATAAGTTTTTGAATTTAATAGCATATGAAACAAAATTACCTGTTTGATATTGTTATGAATTGTAGTGTAAAAACACATTACAAATTTATTTATGTCTTAAATCTGATTTTTTCCATTCTATTAAGCTTTAATTTTAAATGTTGTCCATGCGCAATGTTTCGGAAGCAATATCGTAATCACCAATTTTAACATTTCAATCCGGTGTAAATAGCATTCATGCGTTTGCTCAAACCAGGAAGCATTATTAGTGGCTTTAGGGACTTCTATACATTTTTTCAATATAATTTTTCTTACTTTTCTAATATTTTTATTTTCTTTAAAATACTTTTCAAACACTTTTATATGAATCTTAAAAATATTTTTTAAAATAATCACAAAAAGTCACCAAAAATTCAAACTATTAAGAAATAGTTCCTTTTGAGGTAAAATATATGCACAAATGTGCAATAAAAACATACATATTAATATACTGCAGACTTAATATCTCCAATATCACATTCGTACATACATAATGGTTTTTGTAGTGCATCATTTGTTGCAATAAAAAAAATAATATATTCTATTACTCTTTACTCCTATGATATGGGCCTTTCCAGTACAAGAAGATAAAGCAACAAAGTATATCGAAAAATTATTTGAGGGATTTCTTTACCATTCACTTCGTTACTAATCCATGTATATTAATTAAATAGACAAATAAAAACAAGAAAGGCAAAAGAAACAGGCGTATAAAAACAATTGTGGGTTGCAATGAGTTTGAACTGAACATCATACCAATTGTGACTCGATCGAACATTGTTGCATGAGGTTGGGTGGATTTATTATAAATCCACCAGCAAAATAAAGTGGGTATTTCGTTTGTATGAGCGTGGAACTTCTTTGTACTATAGATTCTTTGGTTGAAGGTTTTCAGCAAAAATCAGGTGTGCAAATAGATAATTCGCCACCACGGAGCAGTAATACAGCTCATTTGGAGACGCAGCAAGCCTATAAACGTCTAATCATTGCAGTACTTACTGATAATTATGATAGTGATGATGACCTGTTTAATTTTGGTGGCGGGCCATCAAAAAAAACATGTTTACAAGATAAAGATAAAAGTTTCGGTGAAGAACTTTACGATGTACGAAATAAACAACAACAACAGGAATTATGTTTACTTGAAACAGAAAAGATCGGTGTGAATGATGATGGCAAATCCGGGAGCAAACAAAATTCAATATTAGATGATGAAAGTATGTCAAAGCGTAAACAGAACAAAATTATTCAAATTGTTATAAGTGACAGTGATGACAGTAATGAAGATGATGACCTGTTTAATTTTGGTGGCGGGCCATCAAAAAAAACACCTAATGAATACAAGCCTATAAATAGCAATGATTTGATGGGACATAATCTAGATTGCACAATAACACCGGCTCGTAAAACTGTTTTCAGCGGTATGACATTTGTGTTTATGAATGCGAACCAGCTTGAAATATATGGACCCATTATAATTAAAGCCGGTGGAGCTACAAAAGATCTAAAATTTTGTGTGCCAAAATCTTTTTTACTTAAAAGTAACGTAGTTGTTTTGCAATATGTGCCCACAAAACAAACCCACAAAACAAAACAGTTATTATCAGTAGAGACGTGATTTTTTTTGAAAATGAAAAATATGTAGGAAAAAGTGATTCCCTAGGTATAGTTGTTCCTATTATACAAATTGAAAGTGACAATTCAGGGAAGAATATAGAGGAATGCGAATTGCCACTTAAAAATACTGAAAATGAAACCAAAAGTTCTGATGAACACTACAAAGTAATAGATAATACCTCTCCGGAATGCTCTGAGATTCAAGTAATATCCAACGAAGTGGAAGAAGAATCTGACATACGACGTTCGAAGAGAATAGCAAGCAAAAATTCGCCATATAATTTTTGTGCATTAGATTATATATCAAACGATCCTTGTTCATTTGAAGAAGTAATGTCGTCCAATAACTCTGATAAATGGAAAGCAGCTATGCAGAGTGAAATTGACTCGCTTTTACGGAACAAGATATGGAAACTTACTGAGTTGCCGGCTGATAAAAAAGCAATCCCATCAAAATGGGTTTTTAAAACTAAATTA